TTTTTTCTGACGCAATTTTTTTTTAGGAGAGAGACCTTACAAAAAGTTTTGACCTTTTTTTACTTGTCATTCTATTCCACTTCTACGTATCAGTAAATTAAGCGTAAATATTGATGACCTTGCTGTTGTTCGTTCCTAAATTACTAATGATAATCAACATAACGTTATATATGCATATTACTTTACGCCTAATTATCACTATTGAAATGGTATACATTGAGAGAACATATGCAAATCTTGACTAATCTTTGGTGTACCGCAGAATTGATAGAAAAACATTACTTATTTGAGCAAAATTTTGTTGTGATTTGTTAGCCACTTGTGAAATTCATAATGTCAAGCGATAAAAATTCATCTAAGATAGGTAGATTGTTTAAATAGTAAGTTGGATGGAAGAACCTTAACTTCGTAATATATATATATATATGTATGCACATGAAAATAACGACCCATCTATATTGTCGATAGTTACATGTATCATCTCTTTGTAATCATGTATATAGATATACGATATGCTTCAAGTACAATTTTAGACGATTCTTTCATACCACTTGCAAATATAAGAAGCTAATAGCTATGCTAATCGTTTTTGTTTTGCTAAATTATCTATGGATTAATATATTATTTATTCTTTTTCTGTTATATGACGATATAAATTATTGATTTGGATACTTCGTTTTGATTTAAAGAAATAGAATCTTTACTATATTGTACTATAACAATAGCCAAAAGTTATTGTATATCAACATATAACATCGATTATAATAACATAGACACATTCTTCTATTAGATATGCTATATCTCTAATTCAATAATTATTTTCTGAACAAAAATCATATTCTCAAATCATAATCAATAATTATTTTGCCTTAATAAATAAATTTTAATACCGCTAGATCATACTATTTCATTCTATGCTTAGCTAAAAGATCACACAAATATTTGACCTTTTTCAATAAGGACATTACCAGAGAGAAAACACGTGCATGAACCTGATAAATATATAAATATATATCTTGTCATTGAATAATAATGATAATCAAAAAAGGCCATGAGCATCAATGATGTGAAACAATGGCAAATAAGCAGAGATGGTATTGATATCATTGTCGAGTCATCATGCGGATAATGTATTTACGTTTAAATTAGATATATTTTTTGAAACCACTGATACATACAAGGACAAGTGTAGACCATACTTTTTTTTTTATCTCATAGATTGAAATAATTATCATAATTGATTGATGAATGAAAAACTCTTGGATTCCATATGTTTTCAACATTCTAAATCTTATTAAAATAGAATAAGTTATTAAATACATAATTATATTCAAACATATTTGATATTTTCTATCTTACAAGACCTAATCAAGGTCTATTACCGTATACAAAAAAAAAATCATATAAATATTCTGCTTAACACATAAACAAATAAACGATTATCAATATCGTGGAATAGAAGACGGAGAGAAAAAAGGCATTTTCTCATAATTTTCTCTCGTTTCTAAGTTTGTTTTAGCATTAAGATGTATGACTCATTTGTCTATATATATATTCTCCTGGAAAAGAGAATAATCAATACGTGTGATAAAAGTTATATATAATTACATTTTGACTTTAACATTCATTCATAAGTTATTCTTCAATTAGATATTATCAATGATGTTTTCAATGTTACTTGTATGTATCCTTTAAAGCTTCCTCAAAAATCGATCTCAGCTTAGGAACGTTCAAATGGCATGAAATTTTCAGGATATGTTAGAACTGGCGTGGATAAAATATTGTAAAGTTCTCAGCCTCATATCATGACGTTTGAGGAAGATATTGACCAAACAAGAGTCAAAAATAGCTCATTTGGTAAACCAAATTTCTCTGTCCAGATTCGTTCTAGAGATTTAATTTTGTTTTTTTTTTGTTTGAAAGAACATGTCAGGATGCAGTGCAATATAGAGCCTTTTTTTTTAAATACTTACTTGTTTAAGGAAAAAAAGGTATCGAAAGTTCAATGACTCAAAAAACTCTTAAAAATAGGTGCCGAGTTATATAAGTGTCTGTACATATAATAAAAAAACAAAAGTTTAATTTGTATTGTGCGTTCAAGAAACTATAAATGGAGAAAAAAAGAAAAAGATTTTCTATTTTTTCTGAAAATAACTTATTTTTTGAATAGAGAATGGCAGAAATCTTCATAAATTTTAGAAAAAATCGAGGTACCGATTAAAAATGTTTGTCGTTTATGAAAGATCAAATCATGAGCTATCTTCCTATACATTTATCTTAATTTCGACCATTCTGACAAAGTGACTTTTTTTTTGAGGAAGCCTTACAGATTAATCTTTTAGAATTATTATAACATGTCTAGGTAATTTGGATTGTGCTATTTGATCGACATTTATTTGTTAAAACAACTGTTATCATTGACAGAGCTTCGCAAAATGAACTATATACAAACATTATGACACTTATTGAGGATACAACAATTGCTGAACAAACAACTGTTGCATCATCTTCAGAAAATAATGAAGAAATTGATACACCTGTGCAATTAATAGATGATATAATTGAATTAAATATTGGTGGTCAAAAAATGACAACATTACGTTCAACTTTAACTGTTGTACCAAATTCAAAATTAGCTCGTATGTTTAGTAAAGATAATATAGAGAAGAATTTACCTATGGATAAAGATGGTGCAGTATTTTTTGATTATAATCCAATATATTTTACTTATTTACTTGATCAATTGAGAGTAATTAAACGTATGCCAGAAAAACCACGATATAATCTTGAATTTCAAGTTCCTTATATCGGTTCACAATTAAATTTTACTCATATGCTTGTCGATCTTGGATTAACACGTATGTTAAATAATCTTATATTTCAAAATATGTTTACTCTAGTTATCATAAAAGAATAATGGATTTCTTTTTAAAGAAACTTTTCATTCTAAAACCTGTAATATGCAGACTCAAAATAAAGATATGTAGGGTAAGCTTCTTTTGTCGTACTCTATATCCTGACTGGCAATGGAAAACATTCCCAAGTATCTGGATCCTTGTGAGCTGATATCTTCCTCATAAGTAGGCCTTGACAAACTATGAAAAATCATCAAACGATTTGTGTCCATTGGTATTCCTTGCTTTTTTGAATTGCTCGAGTACTTGAAAATAATGGCAAATACTTTTTGATGCCTAATAAAAGGTAAAAATCTGTAAATCTTTTTTGAGAATGAACTTAACGATAACTAGATTATACTAGACTTTTCAACGTTACAATCTTAAGAAGTTCGCAGGTGATAAATCTGAAAATTTCTTGAAATTTTACCCCAAGATTTTCTCACGAAATATAAGCATTTATCTACTGCTGAATAGTATATGCTCAATTCCATATGGTTATCATTAAGTTCATTTTCAAAAAAAAAGTTTACAGTCTCCAACCATTCAATAGTCACCAAAAAGCATTTGCCATTATTTTCATGTGCTCGAATAATTCAAAACTTTGCAGGGAATGTCTATGGACACAAATGATTTGAAGACTTTTCATAACTCACTAAGGCCTACTTATATAGGCAACATATTAGCTCAAAAGCATGCGAACACTTGAGAATGTTCCTTCATGAAAAAAATTTTATAATCCATACCCTATCGTGCAACATGCTTACTCTTAGTCTACCCTGCATATCTCTAATTAAAACTATTAAAGACTATACATTCTTAAATAAATTCTAATGAAATATTCATTGTTTCATACTATTTATTATGTTCATTCTAGCTGACTATTTGTTATCACCAAGAGAAGGTACACATATCAACTTGACTGTAAGTTCTCTTGTTGGTTGGAAAGAATGTTATCGTAATACATATGATGTTCCATTTGATTTATCTGTATTGAAAAAATCATGCAATGGCAGTCAACTTCTTGTTGCTTGTCGTCCTGTTAATAACAAAAAAATACTTCGTCTAGCAGGTATTGGACAAATGGAAGATGTTTTTCATCCATGTTTACCAAAACAATGTAGAATAAATGAAAAATCAAAAAGAAAAAATAGAACATTAATATGTTCATCCAATTATCAATGTATTACTCAAGCTAAACGAGGCGTTGGATGGTATAATGCAAATAATCAAACTTTGGGTTTTGTACGTGGATCTTTATCATTTATGATTAGACCATGTGATTCTAGTGAGTTGGATTCTGATTATCGACTTTGTTGGACATCACAATCAATCATTAGACAAGGTACAGGTGATCGATGTGGCAATGCAAAAAATTTACAAAATTCAAACAAATGGGAACGTCTTATTTACTATAGTGTTTAATCTATTTCTTTTTTTCTTGTCATTTTATTATCTAGTATAAAGCTTAATTTTGTTTTTTCATTTAGTTTAGTTATATACTCGATTTTACTTAATCATGCGTACTTTATAAAATGTGAGTTTTATTAAAAAGAAATCAAAACGACTGTTAATATAACGGTCGACAATGAATGATCATTTAGTTTTACAATTATAAAACTGTACGTTAAGTCAAAAAATATGACTTTTGACTTTATATCATGTTTTATCAAATCAGGATTGAAATTTTGAAAAAAAAATTATGATGCAGACAATCGTACAGTGTGATTATTCAGTTGTATGCAAAAAATAAATCACAAGAAGAATTCAAGATGGAAATAAGAGGATAACTATGTATTTCTTTTTTGTTGAACATCATTGATATCTTTTAAATAGAGATGTTGCAAATCCTGTTTCTGTTTCTAATCATGTAGTAGGTTTGTTTGCACTACAGCCGATCTAATGCAGTACTCATAAGAATCGATGATAGCACTTACGGCGCTAGATATAAACGATTGTGAAGAATATTTTCTATCCAATGTTGAATTATTTATTAGAAAGAATTCAAATTAATCAAGAAGAAAATAGTTTCAGAATATATTTTACTAATTGAAATTTCTCTCATCACTGAAGTCGATATGAGCTCTGTGGCTAGTACAGGCGGCTCAGATGCATCAATATTAACCACATTATACAACACTTTCAAAAAAACCGTTGGTATAGTGTACATTATACCGATCAATATACCATCGGTAGTTTCTCTATAGTTATCACATAGATATTTTCCATTTTGAAATCGTTCTCCCACCTCAGATATTCGATTTTGTTCTTAATTAAAAAGAACACACACACATAATTGTTACTATTCACATAATTCGTCTTTTTCTATTCATAATAAAGCAAAAATATTACTTAATATCTAGCCAGATGATCAGGTCAGTATTCAACTAGAGCTTGACCAAAAGTTTTGACAACATTAAATAAATATATAAAAATAATGAGATATTTTCTTTTTTATTTTATTAAATGTTCAAAACAATCATCATAATTATTTATACAAAATCCTGTCCTTTCTAACAAGTTGTCAAATGTTTTTTTAAATTCTTCTTCCACTGGAATATTTTTAATTATTTTGAAAACGGTCTGAGCCAATAAATTTCTATTCATTTAGTCAGTCCAATTACGCTTGATATAATCATTTAGCCAAAAATAACATCTTACAAGGTCTGGTGAAAACGGTAGATGTGTCATTATATTGATATCTTCTTGTATTAAATAATTAATAAAACCTGGATCACTATGAGGTCAAGCATTGTTATGAAGTAATTTTACATTTTTTGCACCTAACGACTTTTTTTGTTTCCATATTTCATTGACAACAGGCTTGAGACAATTTTCAATAGAATAATTGCGATCTATAATCTTACCTTTGTCTACACAATGTATAAGAACAGGACTATTTAATTTAAAGAATATAGAAAACAAATTTTTTGGTCCAAATCTATTTCGATGAGCAATAGTCATTGATGATTCATCTTCACTAATCCAAGTTGCGTTAGCTGACTTATGTCCAACCTGTCTATGATAAATCCATGTCTCATCACCTGTAATAATATCACATAATCGCCATGATTCATCACGAAATTTCGCCAGATTCTAACTCGTTCCTGTTTTTGTCTATCATTGAATTGATGAGGCATTTAATGTGATGTAACTTTTCTCATCTTTAGATAATCGTGGATAATTCGTTCTATTGTACTATTAGAAAGAGAGAAGTCTCAGTTATAATATAGTATCGATTGAATTCATTATCCATTTTTCAAATTTTTTTCTTATTGGAATCGAATTTTATCTGAAAGAATAATAGAATTAAGCCCAAAATAAATTTATCATACATATTATCATAGACGAGATATTCTGCTATTTATTTATGTAACAAAATCTTAAAGGTTAATTCGTTTATAAAATTACCAGCACATGTTACCAGAACTTTTCATCAGATCTCAGTAGATAAAAAATATCCATATAATGTAGACATTGCTATGAAAATTATTACAAAAACAAATGCATTTGTCTAATACTTTCATCACATCATCTATCTTCATATATATATCTTTCTTCAAATACCAACAAATAATATTCATACTAAGAATTATATTCTCGTCGTAGACATTTGATCATACTGAATAATATACTAAACAATTGTGCTATACTATATCATTTGTTATAAGTTGACAATATGAAGAAGTTTTTAAAAATGTTTTCGATGTTATTTGTATGTATTCTTCTAAAGAGAGATGATTTTAAAATTCTTCTCTTATATCTAGGTCATTTGGTTTCTATTATTTGATCAACGAATAGCATTTCAAACAACAGACACTTATTTAGAATCTAATGAAGACTATTCATATGAAGATAGTTCTATTGCAACTGAGAGTAACGTTTTCTCGAATCACACTTCTTCTGTTCGAAATTCAACGGAGATTTACTTAAAAAAAGAAATGCACAATTCTTCATCATCATCAGATGATGATGTGATTGAATTGAATGTTAGCGGTGAAAGGATATCAACTTTACGATCAACTCTTACTGCTATACCTAATTCAAAATTAGCGCTGATGTTCACAAAAGATAATCGAAACGTATGGCAATTAAAAGATAAAGAGGATGTAGTTTTTTTTGATTATAATCCTGTTCAATTTAAATATTTGCTTGATCAATTGAGAATGATCAAACGTACACCAGATATATCTCCTGATGATATTACATTTCAAGCACCACAAGGAGATATACAAACAAATTTTTCTTACATGATCGCAGATCTTGGACTAAATGGTAAGTAAAATTGTATGAAAAAGATATCGATTCGTAGATGAAAATATGGCATGTATGAACTCGTATCAATTATCAAATATTTATACATAATTTATCGATTCGATTGTTTCTAGCTGAACGATTCTTGTCGCCTCTCGCAGGTATTCATCTGAACTTGAATATAAGCTCCTTAATCGGATGGCAAGAATGTTATCGAGACACATATGATAAACCGTTTGATCTATTATTGTTTTTACTAGCTTGCAACAGTAGAAAACTTCTTGTCGCATGTCGTCCTGCTAATAACAATAAGATGTTAACTCTAGCCGGTATTGGCAAATGGAAAGATCTTTTTCGTCCATGTTCATCAAATACTTATTGTCAGATTGAAATAAAGAATGATATAGGTTTCTACTACGTACAAGATCAAGCTTGGGGATTTGAAGGACATTCGCAGGTAAGAAATTAAATATTTTCAAAAAAATAATAATAGAATATAAATTATTTATTGAATTAAATATAGATCAATTTGAGTTAAATTTTATTTAAGTCTCCTCAAAAAAAATATCAATTTTAGTTGGAATTATTGAAATTCAGATGAAAATTTTTGATGATTTCTGTCATTATCTGCTTGAAAAATATGCTGCTTTAAGAAAAAACAGAAAATATTTTTCGTTGTTTTTTTCTGCTTGAAAGAGCACGTCAAGATATACGGCATGACAGAATCTCTTTTTTGAATTAAATTTTGTTACTATATAAAAGAGTACTTTTATAATTAGAGAGCCATTTTTTTTTTCGAGATGTCGAACTTTTCTCTGCTTAAAAGAACAAATAAGAATTTAAAAAAAGGCTTTGTCATATCCTACATTCTGACATACTCTTTCAAACAAAAAAGAAATTAGATATATAGAATGAAGACTCACAGAGAATTTCGTATTGCCGAATGAGCTATTTTTAATCCTTGCTTGTTGAATATGTCGCGAAAATGTCATGACATAGGACTGATAATTTCATGCGATTTGAATGTATCTGACCTAAGATCGATTTTTGAGGAATGGTGTCCTTAAAAAACAAGATCTAAGTTTTCACGTCATTGTTGCTACTTCAAAGTGTCTCAAAAGTTTGTCGGAACAGTTAATGTAAATATCTCTTATACAATTCAAAAGATTTAGTTAATACTTTTATAATATATTAGTATCTTCTTTAAAGTTTTATTTTGCATATTTTTAGATCAATGCTTACGACTATTAACATTAGAATCGCAGTTGTTTTGTGAATGACCAAATTTGAATCAACTGTGGTTGTGAAACGACAAGTGCAAGTCAAGTGCAGCAAAAACACGTCAAATGAAGATTGCGTTAAAGTTACAATTCAATACCTTTGTGAAATTAGTACAGTAGAGGATCGAGAGCATTCTGAAAGACTGTTAAAACCTACAGAAGAAAAAGTCAACGAAATTCATGATATTTGTGAAAACTGAATCACAATCAACTGTTTGAGCTGTCATAAAAGTCTACTCCATCCCACGAATAAATTGCACTTCGTACGATTTCAATGAAAGGTATTCAGTCATAATTCGGTACGCTGTTGTTCATGGAATGGAACAGACCTTTGCGACAACTCGAGTATATGATTGTGGTTTATTTTTCACAAACATTATGAACTTCATCGACTTTTTCTTCTGTAATTTTTGACAGTCCTTCAGAACGTTCTTGATCTCCCACTGAACTAGTTTCATAAAAGCATTGAAACATAATTTTAATACAATCTTCATTTGATGTTTTTTACCGAACTTGACTTGCACTTTTCGTTTCAGAACTAGAGTTGATTTAAATTTGATCATTCATAAAACAATATTAATTTTCATGTTTATAGGCATAGACATTGATCTGAAAATCTATAGAATAAAATTTCAAAGAATATACTAACATATTTTTGAAAAAACAATGCAATCGCTTGAATTGTATAAGAGATATTTACGTTAGCTTTTTCAATGGACGTTTACGACATCTTGTAGATACATTAGAAATATACGATAGAAAGTTCATGTAGTTATTAAAGAAAACTTGATACTTTACAATAAATAAAACCAACACTATATCTATAAGATGCGTACTTATTTCTGTGAGTAAAACAGTTTTCGATAGCCTATTGAGTAAGTTACCTGATGAAAAAAAAATCCCTAATAATTATTTTGGCAGTAATGTAATTATAGTTTTTTTTCCTACCGACTAGCACATTCTCTCATAAGCGTATATTAAATTTTAAACGATACTCATATTTTTATATGCTAATTGTACTATGTTATATCATAGGATATCATTCGGACCGCCAATAGACAGAATTACAATTACGGGTATGTGCAACCAGGTTCAATCAATTTGAATCCTTGTGATTCAAATGATGTTTACTCTGAGGGTCGACTTTGTTGGTCACTTCGCTCAACAGTTAATCGGGGCGGTGGAGACCGATGTGGCAGTATGAAAAATCTCCACAATGCAGTTGGTTGGGAACGAATTATCTATCAAGCTGTTTGAACTTTTCTTTAATTTTATTTTGCATTTAATTATAACCTTTAACTTAGTTATCCTCAGACTTCTATCTATTAAACGAAGTTCATAAAATTTCGTATAAAATAAACAACGACGTGTAACTGAATTGCTGTTCAACAGATGAGTGTTATATAGTGTTGTTTTTTTTGCACTGTTATTCTTTAATAAACTTGTCCTTTGATGCAATAAAAATTAATTTATATTTTTGGTCTAATCCAAACTGATACTATATACAATGGTATTCTTGCATCAGCAAACTAGCTTAAGGTATGCACACATAAATGTTCAAGATGTTGCTTTAATCATAGATTGTTTTGGTACTTCACAAATCAATATAGATCAATATTATGTTGGGTTTTTGGACAGATATGTAACAAAGAACACAGATGTCGTAACTATATGTGTATTGAATTTATTTTTTAGACTTGCATTTAGCCTCCTTCATCAGTAATAATCTCTATGGTATTCTTATATGTAAAAACTCAATAATGGCAAATATCTTTTATTCATTTCACTTTATTCTATTATAGAAATTGTAAAAAGATGGCTCGTCGTCGTCAAGAAATTGCATTACAAGCAGAAATCGAAACACAAGAAGAATGGAATGAAGCAATTAATAAAGATGGTCTTACAGGTGATTGATTATATATATCATTCATAATTCAAAAGTTATATTATCCTTCTTCTAACTATATAAATTTATCTTTGTCAGTCGTCGACGTTTATCAACAATGGGCAGGTCCATGTAAAAGTGTTGAAGGAAATTTCAAACGAATCAAACTTGAAAGTGGAGAGGCATTACTAAAATTTGCTCTTGTAATAATCATTTTTTTTTATTACGTTTATATCCACAATATTTTGTTAAATTTACACTCAAATACACATCGGTTTTTTTTTTGTTTCATACATCATTATTATTAAAATGCACTTGATTTTGTACACATTGTTTGAATTGTTGTTTGTTCTAGTCGTGGATATTTATCAAGCATATGGCGGTCCTTGTAAAGCCATGGAACCGAAATTTCGAACGATAAAAAATACGCTTGGCGATGCTATTCTAAATTTTGCTATTGTGAGTCAATATAAACGTACACTCTATTCTTCTTAAAAGTAAAACAACAACAACAACAACAAATTATGACACGAATCACATATTAATTTTGCATATAAAAATAAAAATAAAAATAAAAATTCATTATGATTTTTTTTGCTAGGCTAAAGCGGATACAATTGATTCACTTGAAAAACATCGAGGACGATGTGAACCATGTTTTCTTTTTTATGCGGTAAAATTAGATAAAATATTGTAAAAAAATAAAATAAAATTATCAATCAATATTTTTAGAGTGGTGTTCTTGTTGATGCTGTTATTGGAGCAAATGCACCTGAATTACAACGAAAAATTATGTTAAATTTAGAAGAAGAAAAAAGAATTCTTAAAGAAGGTGGTGAACGTCGTGAAGTAATTTTTAAAAAATTTGTTTTTCTTTTATTTAATTCAATGAATGTCTTTGTTCATCTAGTTTATTTTTCAACAAATTGATCAGGATGAAGATGAAGAAGTTGACCCTAGATTACAGCGTCATCGTAGTTCTTCTGTTGCTAATGCTATTAGTAAGTAAATTATATTCTTTGTTTTTAGAAAGTAAAAATTTTTCTATTCTTCTAGCAAGTCAACAATATACTCTTGCAGTTATTCGACCAGATGCTTATGCTGATGGCAAAGTAGATGAAATTGTTGAAACAGTAAGTTAAATTTATTACTCGTAAACATTTATATATAGTAGTGACGCCATAAGAAGGCTAAGCTTCATTCTTTGACTAAAAATCCTGGTGTTGCTGCTACTTCTATAATAAATCTTTAATTTAGATTACACAAAATGGATTTAAAATACTCGTACAAGAAGAACATCATCTTAATGAACATGATGCTCGTGAATTACATCGTTATAAAATGAATCAAGTTCGATATTGATTTTGTTTTTTTTTGTAAAATATATCAAAAAATAAAATAAATATATTTATTTCTAGGAAGGTTATGAAGAACATATAGCACGTATGACAAGTGGTCCATCAGTTGTTCTTCTACTTCAAAAAACTGATGCTAAAGCTTCAACTGTTGATGATCTTCGTGAATTAGTTAATTCTGATGAATTATTGAAAACAAATGTTGATTATACACCATCAACAGATAATATTCATGAGTAAGTAAATAATATATTAATATAACTGATTGTATGATTTCATTTTTCTTTTTTCTAAAGTGAACTTATGTTACTCTTACCACATATTGCTCGCAGACCACGTACACCAGAAGAAAATCTTGAACGAACATTAGCTATTATTCGACCAAGTGCTTTGAAATTATATAAAGGTTTGATAATGTTAAAGAATGTTTCTAACAAAAAACAAAAACAAAAAAACATTTGAAATATTTAGATGCTATTATTGATCGAATACGAGATAGTGGATTTGAAGTTACTCGTACATTAGAAATTCAATTAACACGACAGCAAGTAGAAGAATTTTATGCTTCGAAAAAGAATGAACCATATTATGAAGATATTATTCAAGAAATGACTAGGTATAAGTAATATTATATTTAATAAAAAACTGTTAGTGTATTCACAGCGGGATTAAAATATGAAATACGATGTATCTATTGTTACTAATCACATGGAAATTGTTTTATTCTATCTGTTTTGAGACATCTCTTCACTATCATTTTACTTAATAATTCAGAAATGCAATAAAGAACCAGTTCATTTATCATAACGAGATGTTACTGATATACGGTCTTTGATCGTATATTGGCAACATCTGTCACAGTTAGTATCCTGCATCGGTACGACTTTTCGCAATTGGACTTGGATCGGCATTTTCTTTTATACTCGAATCCAGACGGGATTTGGTCATCGTATACCCGGATAACTGTACCCACTACCAGACCGAAGCTAATCGACATTCGACAGATACTTTCATAGTTACAGTACGATTTTCAAGCTTTTATTTTATATAAAAAAAGTATACTATTTAGTTTCTCCTGGTAAAATTCGATTAGTTTCGCTAAGTATACGTTTAGTTGTTGTTGACTACACTAGAATGAAACGCAGTATTGGCGCCAAACGCCATAATTGTGGATACATATATGAATACTTTTTTCCATCATAATTCTTTTTAATAATTCATTTATCCTCTTCATGTATTCTGTTATTTCATCATATGGATCATCATCATTTGTAGATGAATTTTCATTAAAAACGAATTTTTTTAGTAAAACAATATCGCTTTCCCCTTCCATGACCTGTTCTCAATTACAATAAATTACTCAGTCATGATCGAACGAGTTTTCACTTCCATGCTTTTATATAAATTAGTAGTTTGAAAAAGTGAAAATATTTTGAAATGTCGAGATCTCATTAATTGCCGGATCAGGCCTAAGTATGAGATCGTACCCGAGCCGGGTGCTGAGTACCCGATCCGATTACAGAACACTAGTCACAGTCTGTGGAAGGTACGAGCAGATCCAAATTTCTACCTCTATGCTTCAGCACTCTTTTTCTTAGATTTTGTTTCATAAAAAATATTCATATCTATCGAATTTTGTTTTTAGTGGACCTTCATTAGCATTATATTTAACTAAGAAAGATGCTATTCAAGGTTTTCATGCTTTACTTGGTCCAGCTGAGAAAAATAAAATTAAAGAAGCGACTGGAACGTAAGTTATTATTATTGACATTGTAAAATTGAAAGTTTTTTTTTTTGTTGTTATAAAAGTTTTCGACATGACTTTGATATTGTTGATGCTAAAATTAATTCATTACATGCACCACGTACACGTACTGAAGCTAATCGTCATTTACAATTCTTCTTTCCTGAAGAACGTATATTGGTTATTCTTAAACCTAATCTAAGTGATCAACAAAGATGTAAATAATAAATAGATTTAATTAAAAAAAATAAAATAAAATCATTTGTTTATTTATTTTTCTATTTAGCGGAAATTGTAGCAGCGTTCAAAAAAGCTGGTTTCTTTATTATGACACGTAAAATGGAAAAATTGACATCCGAACAAGTAGCTCAACTTCAACAATCACATCAAGGCAAAGATTATTATAATGAATTATTAAATTATATGACTAGGTTCGTCTATATTTTCCGTTAATTTTTAAAAATAAAAATAAATTTCTTTTTTTGTTCTAGTGGTCCATCAGAATTATTTGTATTAGTAAAGGAAAATGCTAGTCAAAGTTGGCAACAATTAGTTGGACCAGATGATCCAGCTAAAGCAGTAGAATCAGCACCAACTAGGTTTGTAATTAAAGTCATCTATATATCATAATAGAATTTTTTTTTTTTGCTTAGTCTTCGTGCTCTTTATGGCAAAGATCTTGTTCATAATGCTATTGATGTTTCTATGGATGTTGAACAAGCTAAAAATGATGTTCATTTAATATTCGGAGATTTAGATCGAGAAGAAGGTGAGAAAATTTATTTTATTGTTATAGAAAATTTTCGAACAATAGTAATTCAAAAATATGTGGCGTTTTCTTCTTTTTGAAATCTAGGTTTTTTTTTTTTGAAAAGTAAAAATATTTATAATTCAATGTCTATATCATTAGATGTATATGATAAACCTTTACAATTGGATATAGGTATCAATGAAGGTGAATGTAATAATTGTTGTACAATCATTATGTCGTATTCCTTTGCCTACATATATTTCCTTGTTCCTTTTTTTTTTCTTTTCATATAATTATATTCATTTGAGTTTTCTTTTTATTTTAGCTTAATCTCAAATGACGATGGTTAACATATTTTTTTCTTTTTTATTCTCTTGAATTGAAATAAAGCTTTGACATTTTAATTGAATCAATGAATTATTTATAGATAAACAAAAGCATTTTTTTTTTAAATTAAATTCACGTTTAAATAAAAACAACAACAAATAATGAGAATGTATTTGTTCGTATTTATCGAATATTAATAACAAAAAACCATTGATATATATTCGCTAATTACACAGCTTGAAAATTTGTATTTATCTTTTCAATTAATGGTTGACAAGCAACAATAGATGAATAATAATCTGGACTAAATTCCATAGCTTTTGCAATACCATAAAGCTAAAGAAAAATATTTGTTATATAACTTATTATCATAAATACTAAACTTACATCTTTTTCTGCATCGGCTAATGCAATAAAAACTGCTAGGAATGTATCAGCTTCATGTATATTGACTGGTGTACTCATATATTGAACCATAGCTGAACCAATAGAAATAGAATTCATAAAACTAAGCTAAAAAAAACATTAGATATGAAATATTACTTTAAGCATACTTCTATGTAATTGATATGAAGAATTTTAATAAATAAATATGAAATTTTTATATTTGAAAAGAATTCAAAAAATTAAGAAGAAAAAGTGAAGTTTTTTTTCGTCTAAAAATATCGATTAACTGATTTATTTATAAGATCGTTGATTCTCATTTTGATCTTGCCTATCCATGATGGAAAAATTTCATGAGAAAATTCATTTCATTCTTCATGATAACTTATTTTCATGTGCTATAGCAAAACCGAAAGGAAAATTTCAACTAACAAGATATTCTTTATTTTAAGCATAAGAGGTGGTAAGTTCTAGTCTTCTCTTCATTTACGCTCACACTTCACACCCATCCTGGACACATTACTCTTTTCAATTAATTTTTTTATTTTCAAATATTCTATCTTACTCGAATATCAGTATTGATACATAAAAGATTATGTAAAACGACGATAATTTCATATTTCGCTTTACTGGTTGATATTTCATTATGAATAGATTCAGTAAAGACTGGTGCTATTTCATCTTGTATATTAATTAACATTGTACGTCCATTTGATGTAGCCGCAATTGAAGAAAACTAAATCAAGAAAAGACATTATTCAAATGGTGTTCCTCAAATCGATCCTTGATTGATTTGCCTTATGCTCAAAAAAAACGATTTCAAATTTGACTCATGTTTACCAACTAATTAACATAAGCGAAATGAGTAATAGAAATAGTTCATTGTTTTTTTTCCGTATATTGAAAGAGTATGTGATATATGTAAGTAACAAAAACAAAAGAAGAAAAAGAATAATTACAACATGATAGACTTTATTTCTTTGTAAAAGAAGTTTTTATCGTACGAGCAGATTTGATAGGTAATTATACTTTGTCGAGCTCTTCTCTCTTATATGCTTGATATAGACCGATCAATTTTTCATTAACGATTAGATCGGTGTTTTGCGTTGTAGAACAACTTGTAAATTTATATTATAGATAGTCATCTTACGAGATACGAATGTTACAGAGTTGGACAAGTATGAATTTTCTCGAATACTCAAGAAGTAGAATTTCGAATAGAATTACTTCGAAACATGTGTTCAACGCGATTACAGTACAATTGTCGAAGGATAGAAATAAGTACCTGGTATCACATAAATATAATACATTTTATCTAAAAGGACAAAAGCAGATAAGACCGTTTTTCTGCTCTCAAAATGTTTCATTTTTTTCTATGTTGAAATCAATTCAGCAGCGACATCCGATAACATTACCAATGTTTATTTCGCAATGTTTCATGATTAATTTTTCGAGGCATATCCATACTCCTCTACAAGATCAACAAAAACTTGACCATCCTTCTAGGGGTACGGGTATGAAACTTGAAAACTTAATCGACAGATACCGCAAAATTAAACGATTTCAATGATACTAGGAGGCACTGTAGTATTAATTTTAAAACCAAAAAAAAAAAACTGAAATATTTTAGGGGGAAACAAACAGACTGACTCACTCTCATCTATTAGGGTGCTTTGATATTTGAGTACGAGTATTTTGCCCACTTTGGAGTTTTATATATAGTCTCAACTTAGATCGTTATCCTCATCAAACTGAGACAATCTATCGTAATTATCAATCAGAGACGAGTTGAAAGTAAACTAATTCAAATTCGTTTCGTTATCTAATGTAATATGATTAAATTTGTTTCATAGAAATTATTTTTAATATGTGTTAAATGAATAAAAACAAATTCGAAGAATACCATAAATATAAATTAAGATGGATATCGTACTTAAGAATTTGGAGTTGAATGATATTGATATTAACCTTACCCAACGTAAAAATTCAATTTGTATTTGTTCAGGTTGATCATTCAATGTTTTTAATAATTCAATAGGAGATTCTTGTCCTTCAATGTCACTTAAAATTTTAATAATATATTCATATTCAGATAATAATTGAAGAATTTCTAATATAATTTTTTGACCAGATTCATCTTCAATAGAATTAACCATAAGAGAAACTAAGAGATAAAAAGAAAAAAATTTAATTTTCCAAAAATAATCAAAATCATTATCTTGATTTTTTTACTTAAAAACATCAAATGTTGACGAGTTAACATAGGTGAATATGTTGCATCAGGTCGAAATAATTGATTAATATCATTTAAGAATTCTTTTTCATCTGAACTCAATGTTCGTTTACACATTGATTCAATAAGATTTACTCGTGGTTTCATTTTATCCAATACAGGTAAAATACAATGTCGTACAGGAATATTATCAAATTTCATATTATTAGTTGCATTTGATTGTACCATATGTATTGATGAATCAGCAAAATTATTATTATTTCCTGTTTGTTGAGCTGCTGATATTGGATCTTTATTAAGAAATGATAAAAGCATTCTTCCTAATGGACTAAAATAAAATGATACAAGATATTTCATAAGAAAAAAAATTTGAGATTAAATCATTTTAATATACGTTGTTTTTACAAATCTTGGTAATTCAAGAATTTCTTCAGGTATAAGAGAATTTGTACTATTAAGAAGATATTTTGTAAATTCATCACTGAAATTATTACAATTCCAATCTAATAAATCATATTGATGACCACTAAAAAGAAACAAATCGTTTTTTTTTTTTTTTTTGTAATTTGAAAATTTTAATTGAATAGAATTACCGAAAACTACTGCAACTTTTTTCTACAATCCATGATTGAATTTCAGATACAGTTTTTTTCGTTTGACCAAGATCAAGTCTAAAATTAATAAATTTTCATTTATATACATATCTCGTTTAGAGATGTGCAGAATCAATTTTTTTTAGTTTCGATTCCGGTAATTTTAGTTTTTCGGACTACAGTCTAGAGAAAACTATTTCAGAATTCGTAAGTATGGCATGTAAAAAATTCGTAAATACTCTGTTTTTTTTTGTCTGTTTAGTCGATGACTAGCATTTTTTTTGGTTATCTCTCTTGAATTATATTCTGATTGATATGATTTATAAGATAATTCGCTTAAAACCATAGAGTATTTGAATATAATCTTCAGTTTCGGTTGAGACAATTTTTTTCTCATAGTTTTGGTACTGGTCTCGGTTATCGGAACTCGAGCTAAAGTTGATCTCGTACATCTTGAATTCCTTATGAAAATTATCTCTCTTCAGTTTATTAGAATAAACAAAGGGTTACATCTTGATTGTGGACACTTTCTTTGGCCATTTAAGAAAAAATGTCTGCAAAATAAAATTAAGATAAGATTTATTATGTGAAAAAAAAAGTCATTAATAAAACATAATTGAATATCTAATTTTTATTAGGTTCATAATCAAGATCATCATTGTCAGTTATATTGAATACCTTGATATATTGATAATTATTAAGATGTAAAAGACTATCGAAATGTTTTCATTTTCTACTAATGTGACTTTTCTAGGGCATGTTGAAGTTTGTTAACATTGTTATTGTTCTATTCGGACGATACTTTAATCTTCCGACTCATAGATATATCTTATTCAAGCTCAAAGATTTGAATGTGTTTGATAAAAAAAAGGATCTTCAATGTATTTACGAAGAACCTAATATGTTAATCCAAGAAAATTTTCGTTTATACTACTAATTTCTTCAATAATATTACAAAATACTCTATTGATTTTTCTTCAATAGAGCTATCCACACTGATCATGTTACTATACCTATTTTCGCTAGTTTACGTAATGTGAACATTATTTTCTTCGAATCAAAGAAAAATGTACGCAATCAAGAGGACATATAATAAAGAGAATTCATCATCATATGATGATACAAGTTAAACAATGTTGTAAATATTTTTAAACATACGTTTTTGGTTTTGGCGCTAATCCCTGTCGATGAATTTCTTCTGGTGTTGTATAAGAAATTCCACTTGAACCATATAAATATTCCTTACCATATACTCCAACGCCTGTATGCCAAACACCATCAATTTGCTTGCCTTAACAAGTAAAAAAAACAAAAAAAGAGATGATATGATCAGTTGAAAAACTTATAATCTTAGAAAATATACCAAGTAAAGTTGAACCATATGCACTAGCAAGACCAAATGAAATATCATAAATATATAATTTAACAGTTGTAAAATTCGTCATGTTAAAAAATAATCTAGAGTTCAAATAATAATCCAATAGATTACATTAGAAAGAGCATGAAGAAAAGAAAAACAAAACGAGAATGGTTTCTGTTTACATTTATCAAAAAAAGTGTAAAAGAAAAGAAGAGGAAATAAATTATTTGTAATGGTTACTCAAGAGACATTTGATGCTCTGGGTTGACTAGTAAAAACCAAGTTAACAAGTACAAATATATTTTCTAATGAGGTCTACTTATCTTATAGGAATATCTAGAGTATACGCTAACATAAAACTGTTAGATTTTCTTTTTTTATTATCTAAATAAAACAAAAAGAGAATCAGAAAAACAGTATCTTCGCAGAATTTTTAATATTAGCTTTAGCCTTTTTAATAGAAGTAGACTAATGATAAATTGACAATAAATTTTGTATGTATTTGTTTTTTGTTTCATTTTGAAAAATAACAGTTCGACTTAATTTCAAACTACCAAGTTTTCTGTATACTTACGAAAGAACTATCTGAACTGTAACCTGTTGTTTAAGCTCATAATAGGTCCACAGGAAGATCTCGATAAAACGAGAAAAAATCTAAAAGAACTCGATCCTATGAGTTTTTGAAGTCTAGTTATGACCGTTTTATTGGATGTTCGATCTGAGATTTTACCCATAGATTGATCCTTAGAATATGCTAAAGGTTTCAGTTCAATATAACATTTCTTTGGCGAGGTGTTGAATATTCAAGTAAACTTGATTCTAGTAAAATGTCTATGTCAAACCACTATTTGTTGGGAATTCAATATCTCGACAAAGAGGAACATTCTTTTCAGCTAAGACTTTCAGAATATTCTAAGAATCATCAGAGGTATATATGGATGAAATTCCGTTACTTCATTTTCCAGTAGACAGCTAAAAGTGGATCGAAAATTAACTACAATAGTCATAACTCGATTCCAATAGCTCGTGGGAACGAACTCTATTAGGCTTTTTCTAGTGTTGCCGAGATCTTTTTGTAGGCCTAATATAAGCTTAAACGACGGGTTTTATTTGAAGTAGCCTCTGCGTTAGTTTGGATTTATTAATAATAATTCCGTTTGGTTATCTTGTTGAATTAAATTTGTGAAAAAAACATATAACTTTTTCATCGTAATTTAATCTTTAGAAATATAAGTCATTGTTTCTTTTCCAATTCTTCGCACATGTCACCTGGTTTACGATTCCTTCAGAAAACGTTAATAAAAAATCAACAAACCTATTCTGAAAAATCGAAAGTAAAACTAAATCTCAAATAAAATCATACTTTACTTATGACATTTTCTTTGTTGCACGTCTAAATATATATATATCCAAATCTGTACGTCCATTCAAATACGCTCAAATCTGTCATACATGTCAAACTTAAAAGTAGAATCCAATTACTCAAGAATTGAGAAAAAAAAAGATTTGCCTGCATAACTAACCTTTGATATCTGCGTCACGGCATGGAAACGTAACCCATACTAGTCTCTGTATAAACAGTAGAGTCTATCCTTATTTTATTTTTCGATACTACTGAAACGAACGTATATAAAAAAAAACGTAAATCTAAATTGACCAAGAGAGTTTTGACATTTATTTTTATTGTTTTCAATCGAAACGATAAACCGGATAGATTTCTTTCACAATAATAAATGCTATTCGATGTAATTGTTGTCAATATAATTCATAAATCTTTTTTTTTTTCTTTTATAAAAAAAAATCTAGAATATAACATAAAATATTAAGACAAAACAATTCATCAGATCTGGTTCTAAGAATTATGATTTGCTTTGTTATTCTCTATCTCTTATTTATCCATAGAACACACAGACGAAGTAAGACATAAACACAAGTAAACAATATTTATACACATATAATGTTTCAAATGTACAATAGTTATGAAAAATAATAATAATAATAATAATAATAATAATAATAATGCATCACAAAAAGAAAAAAATATAGTTGAAAAGAAAAGAAAGAAAAAAAAAACAAACACTAAATTGATCATGATGATTGATCATCATTATTACTACTGTCACTTGACGAAAGTGTTATAACTTCAATATCAGTCGTTCGTGATTTAGTTGATGATGGTTGTTTATTTCGTTTTCTACGATGACATGCATCATTTGATTTTAATGATGATGATGATGATAATATTGATGATGTTGAACTATTACTTCGTTTTCGATTTGAAAATTTTTCACTAGCATCCGATGATAAATCATATGTTATTTGTGCTAAATCTTCCCAATAATTTGTATCATCAATAGTTGATATAATTGGAGAGATTGTTGAATGTGAAGTATGAGGTGATTGACTAGCACTATCATTCATTTTATTAATACATCTTTCATCTATATCACCATTTTGATCAAGTATAGGAGTTGAGGGTAAAGAAGAATTATTGATTTCTCCGTCTTCATCTTCATCTTCATCTTCATCTTCACTTTCACTACCCGATGAAAGAACGATACAATCACTTTCATCTGATTGATAACGAGATTCTAGAAAAAAAAAACAGAAAATATAGAAATAATCATTTAATGATATATTATCAAAAGAAATAGTATCTATCATTTAAATAATCGCCTAGTCGAACAGATAATTATACTATGAGAACATAAAAATATCATTCTAATACTAAAATCTATTAGGTTATTATTATCATCAGTATATCAGTAAAATATTACAAGAATCGACTAAAGTAGTAAGTACACTATCGGATTGATATACAAGATGTTAGAAAAATCACCTATGAAAAAGAAAACTATATATCTTCACTGCGATTAATTCAAATCAAATGACTAACTTGGAAGTTTTTAAAGTGTATTAATACTCCTGAAAATTATAAATTTCAGATTCAATAAAATCCTTTTTATCGAGTTTTGAAAAACAAAACAGAAGATTTTCTATTGAATTATTTCAATTTTTTTCACCATCCTGATGTCCTTTCTCTTACTTTATAAATATTTGCATGGCATGTTTTTTTAAAAAGAATTAGAGTCATTAGTATCAAATTTAATGACTGTAGAAACCCTAAAATCACGTTATTATTCTCAGTTAACTCGTTATTAAAGTATTTTTGATGAGTAGGGAAATGAATTCTTTTGAAGAAAACGTACTTAAGATTTTCTAAAAGTATCATGCAAATATTTATAAAGTAAGAGAAAAGATATCAAGATGGCAAAAAACGATTTAATATTTGTTTTTCAAAATTTGACAAAAGGGATAATTGATCGAAGAGCAAAATCTCTAAAGTTCGTAAAACAAACAATAACACTAAATTACTACTGGAAAAATCACCTTTTTCATTAGAACGATCCAAACAAGCATGGTCGACTGATTAATCATTCTTTTGTATATTTTTTTTTTCGTCGTTCTATTCAGCCTTCTGTATGTATAAAAGGTAGGTGTGGATACTTGAAGTTTTTCGTTTCTGGATTTTCACATTTCGTGATTTTATCCTTGAATCTTTTTTCTTTCCAGCAATTAATACTAGTTCATCATAAACAGTATCTATATGATTATACGCATGTACTTCGTAAAATTGCAAAACATCGAAAATATGGATTTTTGAAGTGCAAGAACAATAAAAGGATATATGTATGTGAAGAGAAAAATCTCAGTTGCACTTGCGCATTCTCATATTTTTTTCTTTGGTACGAATTAGAAATTTGTCGATATTTTGCTTCTTTCAATTGGATTTTATGAATCTTCTTTTGTTGTTTATTATCTATCGTATGAGTATTAAAATAAGAAAAATTTGTTAATCCATTGAAATCTTTCTTGACTTACTATTAGAAGAATTTTGTATTGATTCATCTTCATTATTTTGTTGTAAATGTGTTGTATCTGTAACATCAACTTTTTCTTGTTTAATACTATCTAATATATATTGACAATCAATTGATGAATCAATTTCTACTGTTGAACAATTTGGTGGTACATTTGAAAGAATTGTTTTTAAACGTTCATCAATACGTAATGATTCAAATGAAGCTGATTTTTTACATAATGGACATGTCCATTGAAGTCGTCGTTCATTCATTAATAAAAATGCTTTTAAATCAAAACATGTTAAATGTGAACAATAAGAAGATTTAGCTGGTGCATTAATTAATGATTGTGTTATTGGACATAATAATGAAACACGATGACGTGTTGTCATTAAACCTAAATCTTCAATTTCAATATCACTATCATTATCATTATCAGTTTTATTTGTATATGGTTCACGTTTAATAATTAAATCAAATAATGTATCAATTGATACACAATTTACTAATTGTATTGATATTGTATATGATCTTGGTAAATTTTTAAATGACATTGTTGTTGGTGATTGTAACCAAAGATAATTTATTGTATTACTTGCATTTGCTTTAAGTATTATTTTATCTGTTATATCAGTTGGAAATGATATTGAATGTGCTTGTGAACCAACTTGTTTTGTTATATTATTATTAATTACCGGTTGATTCTAAGAAGAAAAAAAAAAAGATTTTAAAATGAAACAACTAAAATTAATTCTTACATTGCATTGAACAAATAAATAAGGTGGTAAAACATCATTATGTCGTTCATGAATAATTGTCGGTGCTAAACGAAGAAAAACTTTAGCAATATTTTTTCGTATTAAATCAATATCAGTTTCATTTAATGAAAAACGCATTGGAGAAAATGTATGCCAATCAACAGGCATATTTGTAGATTCAATAATACGCATTTTTTCAAAAAAAGGTAAATTAATAAATTGTATATGATTAGCTTGTGGTAAAACTTCAATTGGTGGAGTTTTAGGTAAAACAATAGGATGATTTCGTGATGATGATGATGATGATGATGTTGATGATGATACATGATGTGATCGAGTTGGACGTGTACGAGTATTATTGATTTGGTGAATTTTATTAGCTATTTGTGGAGTAAAATTTGATGTAATAAGTAATTTACAACGTTGAAGTAAATCACGTTTATGTCCTTGACGAGATAAATTAG